CATGAAGGCTTCTTCTGTTACTTGAAAGATATGTGAAGGTTCAGGTTTTAAACCTCAAATCCTGTTTTTACTTCAGAAGTTGATTGCACAAGCGACCAGTGAATGAGTGTCTCTCCATTTCCCTTGCGGTCAGAGAAGATCCTATTCATATTGAGTTTACAAGCAAACACTTCCTTTGGTAAGCTTCCCATGCAATTCAATTCATGTGAGTGCTTGCAAGCTCTGTGTTCAAGTCCGGACTAAAATCACAATAAGTAACTGAGGCAAACTCTCTCCTTAGCCCTGAATCTCCATTTTACGCAGTGTTTTGAAATGATGAAACACAGTTCTCATCTACCTCGATGCAGTCCCATTAACTCAGTGAGATTACTCGTGCCTCACAAAGTTAAGCACTTGCATGGGTATTTACTATATGATTTCCATTCATCCTAGAATTATACCTGATTAACAATCAGTGTAATATTTTTACTTCTTATAATTACTTGCTGACAACACAGAATCTGGTAGCATCTGTGCATATGATTTTTCTCTGAGCACTGCTGTGACCATGTTCATGTCTTTGAAATAATATATATTAACAGTATTTTATGACCAGATAATAAATTGTTATATATGAATGATTATATAGGTGTGTGTGTGTGTGTGTGTGTGTGTGTGTGTGTGTGTGTGTGTGTATATATATATAAAAATTAAATGCAAGATTTATTTGCAGTTAGGATGTTAAATATATATATATTTTAAAAAAACCTTCGATGACTGATCCCTTTGCAGAATAATCTTTTCTTGTAACAAGGAGAAAGGAAGACTGGTCCTTAGGATATTCTAACATTTTCCACTCCAAGCAGCACCCTTACTAGGTGCACCCTTACTGTGTAACAGAGCACTACCTATTATTGAAATTTCCAGTTAATGGGCCACACAGAACCTCAGGAGAGAGGTTTTTACATGGAGATTTTTTAGGCTGGATGGAGATTAACACTCACTTGAAACTGTGGTAGAAGTTAAATCAAGTTGCACAGTGAATTCTAAGTTAATTTTGGCCACAAGACTAGAGCTATTCTTGAGAAAAACGTCATGAGGTACTTGTGACCACAGGTAAGACCTTTGTCATCAGCCACTCATGAGGAAACATGAGTATATCCAGTAGGACATTGTCTAAAATAAGGCAGTGTGTTGGCCTTGGCTGCTGAGTCATCGGTATCACTTCCTGCAGCCCCTGCTTTTGCTCCGGGTATTTCTCAAGGGAACACTGACTTAGCCCAGTCTTTTTGACTCTTCCAGAATGAATAAGATCGCTGCTCAGGAGCGGTAATGATGAATATATCCTTGATTCAGAGGACTGTGTGCTCCTTTTAGCACAAGTGTGCTAAATCTTCCATGAGGTGCCTGCCTGATTAGTTTTTATCTTTATACTTCCTGCTCCCACTGAATTGAAAACTTCAGAGAGCGTTTCTAGTTTTAAAATGGAGAATTCTGTTTAACTGGGATAATCTGTTCAAGCGAGAGAACTGTGTTAATGGCTCATGCCTCAGGGTACCACTGAAAGTCTTTGCATATAGGTCTCTTTTGCTTTTTATTTATTTTAATGTTTGATCAGACATTTCTTTAATCGCTTGAAATGTTACATGGAACTTCTCTGGGAGAGACCAATCCTCAGCATGTTTCAGTGCGAGACCCCTGTTAACCACATCTAGGTTTTCTGTATTTGTAAAGCACACCTTATGGAAAAACAAAAACAAAAACAAAAACACTAAAACCCAACCTATGAGTTTCTTTCCTTAAATATTATTGCAAAATTTTCTGACGTCAAATAATGAGACACACATTACTCTGTGAACTGTTAACATAGCGTGTTTACATATGATATCTTATAGCCAAAACAGATTAAGATTTGAAGCTTTAACTGCTGTTGAGTTTCCACTTCTGTGAATCATACGGATCAGCTTATTCATCATCAGACACTTCATTTTCATTCTTTAACTCTTTCAAGCTACTTCTGTCTGGAGCAGAGTTGTGCGCAACAGAGACCACATCTGCATAAGGAGGACACTATTGCTTAACAAGACCTAACCTTTGCAAGTGAAAGAGCAAAGAGCTGCCAACAAATACAAACAGCCACCCCAAAGAATCAGTAGCATTTTATAACTTCCATCAAAAAGTCAGCTGACGGGCACAGCAGCCTTCCTCAATTGCCAAGGCAGTTGTGTTTTTCTACCCAGTGAAGTGCCAGGTGCAATTCAAGCTAATGATCAAGCCCGTAGTATTTCAATTTCAGTTGGAAAATTACTTGTGAGCACCAACAATAAGAGAGAACCAGCCATGAAAAATCAGCAGGATGGCTCAAATTCCAGGTCCAGAGAAAGAAATTCACTGGTCCTGCCTGGAGTTCCTTGGATGTTAGGATGTAAATTAGAACGAGAAAGGCCAAACATTTTGGGGAGTGGAACTTCATGGATTTCAATAAATACAGGCAATTTTCTCTAGCAGTTGAAAATCTATGCATCACTGATTGGGATGGGACTTATTTAAATACTGTAGTCAGCAGTCCTGATATAAGTGCCTCAAATATTTGTCTTTTTCTGGATAATATGGCCCTAGCCATACTTGAAAAGAGGTATCTCTGATGATAAAAGAAACCTACCTCTATTTAAATTCAAACACATCTTCACCTCAAATGTAATTGTTGTTAAAGCAAGGCAGATATTTGCTGCCAAAGATCAGTCCACTTCTTTCAGCTGAAGACTGAAAGGATTTCAGAATGTATAGGTTGCGTTCTGCAGCTGCTGTTCAAGTTTCCAGATTCACTGATGGTTAGCAAAGGCTAGCAAAGGAAGAAAACAAAATCATTTGTTC